TGAGGTCAGAGATTCCATTTGACTAGATGAAAAGTAATTAGGGGAGCATATTCCATGTATCAGATGATCTGATGCAAAAGAAGTCAATAACAAGGAGGGGTCAGATCTGGGGCTTTATGAGAGAGGCCAAGATTCTGTAAGGATGATTTCAAGACGGAAGTGGAAGAAAAAGATGGGAGAAACCAGAGATCACGGCTAGGAGGGGAATTCAATACGCATCGTCTTACACTCTGTGAACACACAGAGACGCACAAAGACAGACAGATATTCACATAAACGAACAACATTGATGGAGAGAATAACATATACACACACGCGCGCACTCACACACATATGTTAAAGCGAGTGCATGACACACATGAAAGCACAAAATAAATATACAATCTGTAGAGGAGGAATAAAAAAAAGTTATTTTATAAAAGTAAGAAAGAAAATAAAAAAGAATGCAAAATGAAAAATGACAAAAGAAAGAATAAAAAAGAAATCAAAGGAAGACTGCAAAAAAATGAAACGCGACGCGATAAAGAAAAGAAAGAAAGAACGTTAAGTAAATAGCGACAAGAAAGAAAGAAAGAAAGAAAGAAAGAAAGAAAGAAAGAAAGAAAGAAAGAGAAACTGTAAAGAAAGAAAAGAAAAGAGAAAAAAGAAGAAAAATTAATAGCGACAAAGAAAGAAAGAAAGAAAGAAAGAAAGAAAGAAAGAAAGAAAGAGAAACTGTAAAGAAAGAAAAGAGAAAAAAGAAGAAACATGAATAGCGAAAAAAAAGAAAGAAAGAAAGAAAGAGAAACTGTAAAGAAAGAAAAGAAAAGAGGAAAAAGAAGAAACATGAATAGCGAAAAAAAAGAAAGAAAGAAAGAAAGAGAAACTGTAAAGAAAGAAAAGAAAAGAGGAAAAAGAAGAAACATGAATAGCGAAAAAAAAGAAAGAAAGAAAGAGAAACTGTAAAAAAGAAAAGAAAAGAAAAGAAAAGAAAAGAGAAAAAAGAAGAAAAATGAATAGCGACAAAGAAAGAAAGAAAATTGAATAGGGAAAAGAAAGGAAAGAACGTAACATGAATAGCGATAAAGAAAGAAAGAAAACAGAGAGAAAAAAAGAAAACGACAACAATAAATAAGAACGCAAAATGAATAGTGAGAAAGAAAGAAAGAAAGAAAGACAGAAAGAAAGAAAGAAAGTGAGAAAGAAAGAATGAAAGATAAAAAGAAAGCAAAGAGAAAAAAGAAATCAACGAAAGAATTAAAAATTAAAAATGATAAAAAAGAAAGGAACAAAGAAAAACAGAAAAGAATAAAAAAAGAAGCTAAAGAAAGAATGTGTAATAAAAAATGAGACAGAAAGAAAGAAAGAAAGAAAGAAAGAAAGAAAGAGCGATACGACGAATGACAAAGAAAGCGAGAAAGTATGGATATGTTGCAGAGACATTTTATTTTCTGAGCTGAAAAACCAAATGACGAAGTAATGAAGATGAAGGAGGACAGGTATAAGTGAGAAGAAGTAGAGAGAGAATGAAGAGGGAGAGGTGGACCGTAGATGAGGGCGGCCGGAAAGATAACACCCCCTCACCGCTTCCCTGAACTTGCGGTCAACCTTGGCTGTGTCAATTAAATGAACGTCCCAGCACCTGTGTTTGACCCTCAGGGATGTGTTTGAAACGTTAATCCCAAACAGGCGTCGATGAACCATTTCATGACACGGCTGTTCTGAAGGGACGGGAGACGAAACAATTCCCGGGGGCACTACAGTGGTTTAAGTGCGTGTGTTCTCTGTTGATTTTCAAGTAGCTAAGGTGCCTGTTTTGGTTCCTACACGTGTGTGTGTCTGTCTATGGGAGGGAATGTCTGTGAGTATGTGCTAAGTGTGTATTTGGATATGCGTACTTGGTCATTGTATTACCATATTTCAACACTAAATATACACTGTCCCTCGGTATCAATAAACTAAAAACTCACTTAATAATACAAAGTTACAAGCACTAATCCTTTTATTCCATACTAGCAGGGATACCCGGCGTTGCTCGGAACATTTCTGAAGAATAGTTTATTATTGGCAATTTATTATATATTTTTCAGCCATTTTATGGAAAATAATTTTTCTTTTAATTTTTAAAAAATAAACTTCATTGGTTTTTTTTTGTTCGTTTGTTTGTTTTTTTGTTTTTTTTTTTTTTTTTTTTTGCTTTGGTGTTTTACGGTATATCAACCTCAATGGGTTAATACAGACAAGATTTTTATTGCTGGTAATATTTTTTTCGAAAATTCATTGCTGATAATATTTTTTTTCTTCAAAAATATATTGTTGCTAATATTTTGTTTTCAAACATGTATTGCTGGTAATATTTTTTGCCAAAAATGTATTTTCTTCAAAAATTCATTGCTGGTAATAATTTTTTACAAAAATGTATTGCTCATATTAAAACCTATTTTTACACTTTCATAGTATTTTGACACCAGTTTGGGGGTTAACTATTTGCCCATAGCTGGGACCCAAACAGGTGCTACCACCCCGGGTCAGGGTAGACCTGGGAACAGCAGCAATTAAGAGGTGGTTCCACGCTCCTGAAAGCATTCTGATCAGAGGCCTTGCTGTTGGACGTAGTTTATCGTCTTACCCAGAACATTTTTTTTTTGTTACAAAATAACTAAATTTAGGGAAATACCACACTACCAATACCACGCTCGGGGACGGGGAGGTGTCTTGGGGGCTGAGCATCCCCCATATAAGACACTTTATTTTTCGATTTAAATACTAACATAAATGCTATTAATGTTGTTTTCAAACAGATAAAACTTTGTCTATATTTCTGAGATGAGGTATTATGTACATTATTTACATTATTCGGACTATTGTCCTCATCTTTGTCGCCATATTTATCACAACGTTTCGGCCGTTGTACGCTCCGGTATTCTTCGGGTGGTTAGAATTTCGAACTGAACCCTTTATTTCGCTCACTGGCGTAGACTGTTCTAGTTCCACGTGCCATGTTTGATGGATGTCAGTTATCAGTTATCTCCTGCTAATTTCCCTCTGAAAGTTCTCCACTGCCTTAACCGGGTATTGAACTCACACTCTTTGGGTCCTGTCATTGGATCTAACCAACGCCTTTATCCACTGTGCCATGTGTCCTCAATATTTCTTCCCTAACAAGGACTCGGAGACGCTTTTGAACTCTATCAAGACTGGAAAGTGAAGACTGGACCGCAGGCTCCGCCCAAATATGGCAACAGTACCCCATTTTGGGCCTGATCTGGCTCTTATGAAGTTAGAGGGTAGCATGAAGAGTCAGGTACTTACTGGAGACTAAAAATATTTCGGTCAATGTACCCAGGGCCAGGATCTATGGTACAGGGAAAGCCTCTCTACTACATTTCGGTTTTCGTAAGGTACTCTTCATATAAAATACAAATTTTATTGTAACTTAATTATGTACAATAATGAATTATATGCAATATAGGTGAAACAATTCAAGTAGAAAATTTGAAAATAAATGAAATGCATTTAAATACATTATCGGTTGGGTCCCCATGTAGAGGAGTAAGATACGAAAGACCCGAAATCTCTAACGAACTTCGGCTAAAAAGCATCATTGATGGTGTGTGCCAAAGCACCAAAATGGTGTATTTCACGAAAGAGAGATATTATAATAGATCATTCCATCTTAAATAAATCAACAATGTTTTGCCGCCATTTTTAACATCAACTTGAGATTTTTTCCTGTAAAAAAGTTGAAGAATTTTAACACATTCAACATAAAAATTAGTGAATTTTATGTAGTGTTTTTTGAGCGAAACAAATTCACGGATTTGAACAAAAAGTAAAAATAAAAAACAAATCGACCCCAGAATGACGTCAAAATCTGTGAAATATGTTCATCTTTTAACAACAGTCAGTTATTCTTAGTTTAATTTGTAACATATATAAATGTAGGTAAATAAAATTAAATGCTCATAAGATAGTGGGGGTCAAAAAGCACTGTCCGGGGCCACCAATCACGCTTGTACACTCCCCCCGTCACCCAAGTCGGGGGTTCCGGGGTAGTACGAACCGGCCCTGGCTAGATATACCCTCCGACCGTATTATCATGAATATTTAAAAAAAAAAAATGGAAACTTGAACCTTCGTGTCCAAAAAAAAACGGTGTCACAAAAGGATTGTTTTTCCCTTGACACCGCTATTATTTTAACTACCTTCACTCTTCGGCAAGTTTTATTGTTTTAAAAAGCGGTGAATAGAATTGTAATAAAACGTAAACATATGAAAGTGAATTCATATATTTTCTTTGTTCTTGAGAATTGAGAGCAAAAATAATAAACACTATTTATTAGATTGTTGATTCAAATTATTTATTATATTATTTATTGGAATGGTTGTTTGAATCGAACTTTAAAAAATGGTAAATAAGGATTTCCTCATAGATCACATATTTTAATAATTTAGTAAATGTTTATAAATTTACAAATAAAAAATCATTTTTATATTTATTTCTTTATAAATTGTTAAATGATAAATATTGCATTGCATTAGTGTTAATTGTATTGGTTTTTAGAGTGTTGTAAAATTAAAATTTTTCTTGTAAATAAACAATTTAATAAATAGATAATGTTTAATATTTGTATTGCAAATTCTCAAGAACAAAAAATATTATTTTCTTTTATCTGCTAATCCTTAATGATATAATTTTATGACATTTCAAGAAAGACTTTTTGAAGCGCTTCATATTTATATTAGTTATAGGGACAAATGATTGATTTTTACGGTTTATCAACCTTTATGCTGGTGATTTAAAACCTGGAAATATTTTTAGATTGTAAGAACCATTTGGAAATAATAATGTTTTACTGATATAAGTCTTACTAATTAACCCATAGCTGGGGGGAGAAGAGGTGGATTCATGCAAGGGTATTTGCGCGTAACTGAATATAATGAACCCGACTGAATTTGAAAATCGGATCTCCGATTTCCAATTCCGAGCTGTTATCCATTACACCACCCGCGCATCCAAGCTTACGACCCCTGGTATTCGCAAGAGGTCACCTATCTAGGTACTGACCAGGGTCAACGTTGATTAACTTCGGTGATCACGCGAGAACCGGTATTTCAACGCGATATGGCCATAAACTCAATGACATGGAGAAGCCTTTGGCGAATGTAAATTATGAAATTTCTTTTCTCAAACAGGACACCCAGTTACAAAAAGTCTGCTCTGAATCGTAAAATAAAATCTGCAATTAAACTAAGACATTATTTAATTAATTAGAATTTTTTTTAATTTCCTTTATGAATAAAATATATTATGGACCATATTGTTATAAGTAAAAAAAATTCGATGAAAAAATTTTGTTTAAATTTTAATTTAAATAATTCATAAACTTTTAAATGTTTTAAATTCTGTGTTAATTCGTAACTGCTATGTAATATTGTTATTAAGTAAAAATTATATTTACTAATCATAAATGGAAAAGCTAACTTCAATTCAGCGACCAGCAATATTTTAAAAAGAATTTTGAATTTATTTTATACAAGCTTAAAAGCTGCCCTATCGGCGGCATTTCATCTAGTTCCTGCAGTGGGCTCTTGATTGGGCCTTCATCACAATAGGTAGGGTGAAGTAAAGAAGAACTCAGAATTGATCGCTGCATTTAAGCATTGCATTAATATTTAAGCTTTCCTTTTAAAAGTTCAACGATAATTCTTCTGATGCCACTTAATTTAAAGACAATTTGATGTACGTAGGTCCTTACTCTCCGTACAAACAATTATTTTTATTTTATGGGTGACTTTCACTGAATTTCGCAAATAATTTCGATTATTCCCAAATTTATTTCCGAGTTATAAAAATTGTTATCGTACAAAAAAATTCATCGCAAAAAATCATGTAAAACATCGGCGAAAACAATCGCAGTAATGAAAACTTGGGAATCCAAAATTTCAGGATTGCGGATTCGGATCCGACCCGGAATATTTTTAATTCGCTCACGGAGTCGGCCTGATTTCAAAATGGTATGATATGTTGGGCTATGGCCTCAAGGAATAAAGTTGAAAAAGTTTGACACACTGACATTCGCATTTATTATATAGATATATAAACGTGTTGATTTTTACATATACGGATGCCCAAACGAGACAACATCAGAAAATAAAAGCAGTAACTATAGTAAAGTTAAAATTTATTGGTAATTTTTTAACATTTCTTCGACCAGCATCTTCGTAAGTTAAACTATAGAGACAAAGTACCAAAAATTCAATAGAATATTAGATTACTTAGAATATTTTCTGAAATTTTTAAGATTGCTGGATAGTTTAAAAAATATATATAGAAAAGGTGTTCACTTTATATTCGTCAAGTAAGTGTTACAGTTATTTCTCCCATAGAAGAAATTCGCAAACATAAGTCTATCTTACATCTCACCAGTGGAATACGAAGGGAATGAAGGTGGTTCGCTAGAATATGCGAAGCATCGCGGGTCTTAGCCGTAACGGTTACAACTGGTGGAACTAAGGAATGTAATTCGTATGAACACTTTGCCTGGAAATAGCAGTGGAATAAGAGAAGCTTGCAACTTTTCGTCTCTGGGAAAGGGGTTGTAGGGTTGAATATAATTCATCGCCCAATAAAGTTGCGGGCACACGCTTTTAGATTATATCGAGAGTGGAAACTGAAGACGCCAGCTCCTGCTTATACATGTCAGCAGTACTCCATTTTCAGTTTGATCTGGCTCTTGTAAAAGTAAAGAATTAACAGGAGTCGGGTACTTACTGGAGCGGTACTTGGAACCAACCATTTTCCCAGCATCTTTAGGCGTGATTTGGGGCCAAAATTAGCACATTTCAGTCTAACGTTTTATTTGTAAACAAACCACGACTCGCGGATTACGGCCATATCACCGAAGTTAAGCTACTTTGAGCCTGGTCACTACCTAGATGGGTGACCGCTTGGAAATACCAAATGCTGTAAGCTTAGATGTACAGGTGGTGTAATGGATAATGGCTCAGAATTGTTAACTGGAGAACCGAGTTCCAATTCCAGTTGTGTCTGTTATATTCACTTACACACAAATGCTCTTGATAAAGGTATGAACCCGTCTCTTCTCTCCCCAGCTATGTGTTAATTATTAAGACTTACATCAGGAAATCGTTATTGTCTCCTCCCCACCAGAAATTCTTATAATGTAAAAAAATATTTTCTGGTTTTAAATAAACTACGAAGGGTTGATAAACCGGAAAAAACGAAAGAATCAAATTAAACCAAACCACGATTCGATAAATCTGTTATTGGAAATGTTATTTCCTCAAAAATTCAACCGAATCATGGATCAAAAATGTGAAACGTTTTTTAAAATCTTTCTATATTTCTGAGATGAGGTATTATGTATACTATTTACATTATTCGGACTATTGTCCTCATCTTTGTCACCATATTTATTACAACGCTTCGGCCGTTGTACGCTTCGGCTTTCTTCTTCTGGTTGGAATGTCGAGCTGAACCCTTCTAGTTTAATGGATGTCAGTTATATCTCCTGTTAATTTCCTTAACCGGGTATTGAAATCACACTCTTTGGGTCCTGTCACTGAATCTAACGCCTTTATCCACTGTGCCATGTGTCCTTGAGGACATCTGTGTATGAATTTCTGGGTATTATAAACCTAATGTATTCAGCAACCAGTTTTTACCAGTGCTCATATTGCAATTTTTTGCTGTTATTATTACATGTTTTTACCAGAGCTCATATTGCAATTTTTGTTGTTATTATTGCTTTTCTCCTTATTACTGGTTAACATATTCTATTCATTTCTATGCTTGGTCGTCTCAGGAGATTTTTGTGGCCTAGCATATGTGCTGATTCTTTAAGTTTACGAATTTTCCAATGGTGTTCTTTGTCTATGATCTCAACCTGATCCACAGTTTTTAAAATATATGTGAAGTGAATAGGATGGATTCTTATTCGGAAGATTTTTAGAGGAGAAAGGTCAACAGCCTAATTTATTTTTTTATTTTTTTTTTTTTTTTTTTTTTTTTTACTGTGGTGTTCACTCTGTACAAAACCCTGGAGTCAATCGAGGTAGAGGGTTACAGAGTAAGTAGCACAGTTTATGCGGATATCTGGGGAAGTTAGCGGTTAACGCTAGACTTGGACAGGTTAATATTGTAGTGATCGAGGAAATACCTTTTGGGAGTTGGTTCCACAGAGCAGTGGTTCGCGAAAGGCTGCTGCTCGAGTGGAATTTACTTCTCATCAGTTGAATACGAATAGACTGAAGGTGGTTCACTACAATGTGTGTAGCCTAGCAGGTCTTAGCCATAAAGGTTAATACTGGTGGAATTAAGGAATGTAGTTCGTTAGAGCACTTTCCATGGAAATAGCAATAGTTACAGAATCTTGTAAAAAAAAATGGCAGTCTCGGCGAAAGATCAACGCTTTACAGTAAGGAGCTCAAAAACGATATTCAGTGGGTGGCGCCAGGAGAGTTGATAGGCCTGCTGAAGGGTTCATAATTGCTAGGCAATCCTGTTCAGTAATTCTAGATGTGTTTGTCAGTTATCTGACCTTAACTAGTTGGACGTGTTCTCTAGGGGATGATGCACTGCATATCTCTGTTCATGAGCGGGCGTCGTGTGAGAGGGTCATGGCCACGTGTCGAAGACAGGGCCGGTGCCCCGAACCCCACGACCGAAAGTGACCAAGCTTAATTGGGGGCACCGGGAAGTGTTTTGAGACACTCATTATCTTATCAACTTTTGCATTTTTTTCTACCTATATTTATATACGTTACAAATTTAAACTCAACACAACGGACTTAAACGATGAAAAGTTTTCGCGGATCCTGACGTCATTTTGGGGGATTTGTTTTATCTTTTATTTTCGTCGAAATCCGTGAATTTGTTTTGCTCATTCTAAGTCTCGAAAAAGCAGTATTCACAATTTTTTTTTTTTATCCATAATGTTGAATGTGTTAAAATTATTCAACTTTTTAACAAAAAAAATCTTATGTCGATGTTAAAAATTGCCTCAAAACATTGTTGAATTATTTAAGATGGAATGATCTACTATGACATGTTTCTAGTTTGTATTTAGATACATTGTATTTATTTTCAATTTTTCTAGTTGAATTGTTCACTTATATTGCATATGATCCATTATTGTACATAATTAGGTTAGAATAAAATTTGTATTTTATATGAATACTACCTTAAGAAAATTGACATATAATAAATTGTCCCTCTCCGTATCATTGGTGGGAGGGGATACGAGACCCTTGTACCGACTCTGATAACGGGTCTATCTGTCTGTCTTTTATCTCTATCTATTTTCTCTTTTTTTATCTGCTTTTCTTTTCCGTCTTTTTTTTGAGGGGGTTGTTTTTTTTTTTTTTCATAATGTTGAATAAGTTTAAATTATTTCACTAGAAAAATCTCACAATGTTAAAAATTACCACAAAATATTGTTGGTTTATTTAATATGGAATCATTTATTATAACATGTCTCTAACTATTATTTAGTTATATTGTATTTATTTTCAATTTATCTAGTTAAATTGTTCACCGATATTGCATATGATCCATTATTTTACATAATTAGGTTACAATAAGATTTGTATTTTATATGGGTAGTAGCTTACGAAAATTGTAATGTAGTAAAGTGGGGGGGGGCGTATCATAGATTCGGGTGGGCGCGAAACCCTTTCATCGACCCTGGTCGAGAAGTTTCTTTTTTTTTTTTTTTTTTAGTTTAAATGATGAGGTCGCCTGGGTGAGTTTCAAGTCGCTTCAGGGTACTTCCAAACAACCCCAACCGCAAACCGTCTGATCGGACTGGGTTACACGACCTGACCTTATATCTAACTGGATCCCATATCCAAGGTTATATTTTTTTATCGAAACCTTTGACCATATCATGCACATTTGGCTGTGATGCATGTGCCTGGTATACACTGGAATTTCGAAGCAGTGGATAAAAGCGTTGGTTGAAATGATCCAGTCACCTGACCCAAAGAATTGTGAGTTCAATACCTGTCCACAGCAGAGGTGAACAATATTTTGGAGAGTTGCGTTACTAAAGGAAAATAACTGAAACTGAGTTACCCAGAAAAGGTGGAAGTAGAACAATCTACACCAGTGGATGAAATGAAAAAAATTCAGTTCGAAATTCCAACATATATAAACTAAAGAAGGCCGGAACATACAACGGCCAAAATGTTGTGAATATGATCTTTCATGATGGGTAGGTATATTGAATTTCGCATATTTATATCCCAATGTCATTTTTTTAGGGTTCTGCTCTCTCGTTCAATAATAATAATTGAAGTCGATGAAAATGCTACCGTCACAAGTCAGAAAATGTGATCAAAAACGACCATTCCAGGATATTATAGAATTTTAACATATTAAACAGACGACATCTTTGATGTCAGCAAACCAGACATTACCGTCAATGAAAAAAAAAAGAAGAAAATGCCTCCTCATCGATGTGGCTGTTCCTGGTAACCATAACATCCAAGTCAAAGAAATTAATAAGCTTAACCCTAGAACACTAACCATCAATTAAAGTTACACCACTACTAACCATGGGTATATCATACCCGATTTTGAAAATATCAAAAAAAAAAAAATTAAATATAAATCTTTATTTGAAATAAAGGCACTTCAAACTTTGTACTTTGAGTTAACATTGATAGGAACTAAAAAATATATTCTTTAGGTAAGAAAATCAGGTACTGAAAATTGTAATTAAAAATAGGAAAATTTGCGCTGGGTACTATATACCCATGGTTAGTGTTCTAGGGTTAAGAAATACACAGACCTCTTGAGTGAAGTTGACAGGATGTGGGACGTTCAGACCATTATTGTCTCCCCCACCCCACAATTATCATTAGGGCGTTGAGGGTCGATACCAACGAACTTAAAAGAAAATCAGAATAACATTGCTTCAGATGTCTGCGTTGCTTGGCTCCAAATCTGCAAATGGTGCTGCTTTTTTTGAGACTTGGGAGGGGAATTGAATGAAAAAACCCATAATGCAAGATTTCCGGTTGAAAATGAAACACACGAGGGAGAAAGTAGTAGTAGTAGTATAATAATAATAATAATAATAATAATAATAATAATAATAAGAAGAAGAAGAAGAAGAAGAAGAAGAAGAAGAATCTGCAGCTTTTACGGAAAGGAAACTGCAAGAAATTGATATGAACATCACCCAATCTGGTTACAGAGACAGGACCTGTAACAGTTTTATGGGACTTTACAATACACAAAAACAGAGCAATTTGTCGGTCAAAATGTGCCTTCTTTTGACATGACGGCCCCTGCAGACTGCAATGTATCATTGAAGAATTAGTTTTTTGAACTATCAAAATACAAGGACCTTGAAATCGAAATCTCAAAAATGTGGCACATAAAAGCATCAACAATTCTAGTTGTAGTTGGAGCCCTCGGATTAATTGGAAAAAATTCCGATAGGCACATTGGAGAGATTCCTGGAAGCCCATGTCTTAAAGAAATACAAATAATTGTTCTCACAAGTACAGCCCACACATTATGAAGGACTTTATCTATGTAAAATATGTGTGAGTTTTTTTAACTGCTCAGTGGAAAATATCTTGATGTCATTTCTGACCTTATGTCCCTGGTCGGGACTCGGAAAGAAATGAGTATACACCAGAAATCAAAGGAAAACTACTACTACTACTACTACTACTAATAATAATAATAATAATAATAATAATAATAATAATAATAATAATAATATGGTTTGCTCAGTGGACTCTAACATAGCAACCAAGAAAATTTGAAAAACTATCAAAGTATAAAGATCTGAAAATCGAAATAAAAGTAGGTGCGCTTGGAATGATAAAAAAGGAACACAACAACACATTGAGAATCCCTGGAAATCATAGCTTAAGAGAAATACAAAAAATTGTCTTGATAAGTACAGCCCACACAGTAAGAAATTTGTCCCTGTATCGATAGTGATGCTATGGGAGTTAAATAACAAAGCATGAAATTTAGCCATAACAACAACCACTACCTGCCTTAGATCTTCCCATAGACTTGGTAGGTAGTGAAACCATAGTAGAAATCGAAATATAATTGTGATGATGATGATGATGATGATGATCCTTTGTAATAAGCATGATGCAAGAGGATCTTTTTAGTTTTTCACTTATAGCAATGTTATCAGATCAAAGACTCGGTAACATATCACAGGATGGGTTTAGTTCATGGACCGTCTTGTCATAGCAAAAATGGCCGTTTTAAAGCAAAGCTGAAAGAAAAAAAAATGAAGACATTTTTACTGACAGTTTTGATAGATACGAGCAAATGTTTATTTAAAAAATACTATAAAGGTCCCAGAATCGTATTTTTATGACAAGTCATCATTTAATGAAAGGAAGAAAGTTCAAGTGCGGAGCGCCTCTCTTGATCCTGCTTATTTAGACGTCGGGCTGATGGGGGGGGTGAGCAACTCAGTGAGTATAGCCTAACGGAAAAAGAGAATTAAAATTTGATTCATTATCTATTGTAAGGTTTGTTGAGCCATTGAGACTCTTGTTAAAACACTGCCTGTAACTATCAAGATAGGATTGCATAGATAGATAGATAGATAGATAGATAGATAGATAGATAGATAGATAGATAGATACATACATACATACATACATACATACATGCATATGAACAGACTGAGATAGATAGATAGATAGATAGATAGATAGATAGATAGATAGATAGATAGATATTAAAAACATTACACAGATATGAAAATTATTAGATTGATATAAAGATAGATATTAAAACATTAGACATAGATAGATAGATAGATAGATAGATAGATAGATAGATAGATAGATAGATAGATAGATAGATAGATATGAACAAACTGAGACAGATAAACAGATACATACATACAAACATATGAACAGATTGAGATAGATAGATAGATAGATAGATAGATAGATAGATAGATAGATATGAACTGAGACAGATAGATAGATACGTACATACATATGAACAGACTGAGATAGATAGATAGAGAGAGAGAGAGAGAGAGAGAGAAGTAGCTATGAAAAGAATAAGATACATACATGATGATTGTCACTTCTTTGCAGAAGAAGACCATCTCTTCACTTGGTAGTTTTTTACTGTTTTTTAATTCAGAATTTTATTATTTCAGTCATTTATACCAGTTATGGGCCCGTAAGTGATTCTTAAGACAAGCTTCACTTTTACAACCTCTCTTACACACATGGCAAAGTTTGTCTGTGTTGGAAATTTGACGTTTGAGTCCTGCAATAGGCTAACAAACCTCGTCACAGAACTATCACAAGTAACCTGCAGGACTTTCTGGTAGGGTTGCATTCACAGGAATTTGCACCTGACCTCTCTGGTGTGATTTCATGTTACTGGCTAAGCCAGCCGCCGAGACATACATACATACATACATACATACATACATAATGAGATAGATAGATAGATAGATAGATAGATAGATAGATAGATAGATAGATAGATAGATAGATAGATAGATAGATAGATCGAAATGAAAAACAAAATACATACATATATATATATATGTGTATACAAGTGTATATTCATGCATAGATAGAATGAGATAGATAGATAGATAGATAGATAGATAGATAGATAGATAGATAGATCGAAATGAAAAACAAAATACATATATATATATATATATATATATATATATATATATACAAGTGTATATTCATGCATAGATAGAATGAGATAGATAGATAGATATGAACAGAATGAGATAGATAGATAGATAGATAGATAGATAGATAGATAGATAGATAGATAGATAGATAGATAGATAGATAGATAGATATGAAAAGAATGAAAAAGAAAGAAAGAAAGCTTATACGGCAAAGCAATTAAAAGGTCGGCAACGGCTTGGTCGGTTACTAACTTCAAAGATAAAGTTCGCAATGAAACATTATATTCAGCGAAAGATTAAATTCAGAAAGTAAACAGAATTTCGAAACTACACAAATATGAAACACGGATCAATTTCGAATTAAAAAAAAATACTATTCGGAAATGTTTGGGGCCGTCGGGTTTCGTGAGGCAAGTCAAAAATTAGTTTACATCGCCTCTCATAAGAAACAGATTCTAATTTATCGTAGCTATTTTTGTTTGCCAATGATATATAAATAATTGCTAGCTGCTTCCACAGTGATACTTGCATTAACGGCTGTCGCCATGATGAACAGGTATATTTTGAAAACGGAGAAATGAAGTAATCTTTGATGTTATCAGTCAGTATGGGAAGAAATCCAGAAAACTTCTATGGGGGTGGATATGTGGGTGTAGCGTAACTGTTATCGGCGCAGAAAGGGGAATCGGAGAGCTGAGCTTATCAACTGTTATGTAGTATCATGGCCGGTGCAAGGGCCTCAAACACCCCCCCAAAAAAAAAACTACGATACGCCCACCCGCGAATCTATGATACGGGGCCTCCACTCTACTACATCTCAATTTTCGTAAGGTACTATTCATATGAAATACAAATTTTATTGTTACCTAATTATGTACAATAATGGACCATATGCAATATAGATGAACAATTTAACTTAGGTAGCTCCAATAATTCGTTAAAAAACCAGTATAGCCTAATGATAAAAGGTTCGAAACTTAATAAAAACAAAGTTTCATCATTAAAATGTTTATATTATTAAGGAAAGAACAAAGTATTTTTTAAATATTTTTTAAATTTCTTTCCTTCTTTCTAACACGTTTTAAATTTGGGTAAAAAATCTCGTTTTTTTCTTTCTTTTTTTTTGTTAACTTGGTAAGACTTATGGTCATCGCTTTTTTTAGTGTAGCAGTTTCGGGATAAACCCATTAACTTCGAAATTCTTGCAAAAATCAAATAATTGTCTAATTTAAACTTTCAGGACTTATTCAAAAATGAATTAATTTCTTTTTGAATTTTTAGAAAATCAACTAGACTAGATAAATTGAAAATAAATACACTACATCTAAATACAAATTAGAAACATGTCATAATAAATCATTCAGTTTTAAATTAATCAACAATGTTTTGCGGCCATTTTTAAACATCAACTTGATAGTTTTCGTGTAAAAAAAGTTGAATAATTTAAAACATTTAACATCATGGATAAAAAAATAGTGCATATTATTAGAGTGTTTTTTGTTTATTTTGTTTGTTTTTTGTTTTTTTTTCGAGACTTAGCATGAATAAATCAAATTCACAGATTTGAATGATAAGTAAGACTCAGAATGATGTCATGAAATGAGGGAAAATCTTCTATCTTATAATAGTCAGTTCCGCTTAATAGTATCGTATATAAATATCGTTTGAAAAAAGCAAATGCTGATAAGATAGTGAGAGTTACAAAGCACTGTCCGATGCCCTCAATCAGGCTTCTCCCCGGGTTGGGGCGGTTCATTGGTAGTATGCAGCGGCCCTGTGTAATATCAGTCTTCCTATATGGTAGTGAATGCTGGACAATCTCCTCACAGATGAAGAAGAGGCTTGAAGCAACAGAAATGTGGCTCTACAGAAGACTGCTGAGAATATCATTGACTGAACATGTGAGCAATGACAAAGTACTAGAGACAACGGCAACAAAAATGACACTTATACCCAACATGAGGAAAAGATAGTTGAAATTTCTAGGGCACATAATGGGGAAAGAGGGCTTGGAAAATATGATACTCACGGGACAGATTAAAGGTAAAAGGCCCAAAGAAAAGCAACGCTCAACCTCCCTGGAGATCTTGGGCGAATGGAAGACTGAACAAGGTTTGGGAAAGATAGCAAAAAGACAAAAGTTATTAAGAGCTACAAAGGACAGGAAATTGTGTCGAGCCATGATTGCCAACGTCCTGAATGGACACGGCACATAGAGCAAGAAGAGGTTGGTTTCACTTCGTATTAATGCGCTTGGGAAAGACATAAACCCAACTTTTCTCTCCTTATCAGTTATGAGTTAAATAATAGGGTAGAGCGAGCTCTGCTGCATTGAATGGTCTAAGAGAAATAAAACTCTGACCACAAGCCAATTCAATGTACTGATGTCGATTGTGGAGTGGCGATCCTTTAACTGTACGCTTTTAGCTTCTTATGGTGCATATATCTCCATCATTAGAAGCGACCATGACTCTACCCAAAATGGCTATGTTGTCCTGGGTATTACGATAAACAACGTCCAGCAGCAAGGCCTCGGGAGGTTTTGAGGAGCGTGGAACCACTTCTTAATTGCTGGTATTCCCAGGTCCATTCTGACCCGGGGTGGTAGCACCTGTTAGGGTCCCAGCTATGGGCAAATAGTTAACCACGAAACTGGGGTAAAATGGGTTTTAATACCAGGAATAAAAAAAAAGAAATTATTATCAGCAATAAATTTTTGACGAAAAAACTATTACTAGCAATACATTTATGAAAAAAAATATTACCAACAATACGTTTTTGAAAAAATATTAACAGCAATACATTTTTGAAGGAAAAAAATTATTACCAGAAATAGATTTTTGACAAAACAAAATATTACCAGCAAGGAAAACTTTGTCGGCATTAAATAACCCATTGAGATTGATATGCCGTAAAACACAACAAATCAGACCAAACCAAAATGGCTATGGCAGTCACTATCAGAGAAGTAAAACCCTGAATAGAAGCCAATTGACCGTACTGCCATTGCCGATAAGGGAATAGCGATACTTTGACTATCAATCATTACTTCTTCATGATGGATATGACTCAATCTTGAGAAGAGACAATGGCCCGACCTAACGGACTAAGTCGGGCAGTCTAAAACTCTGAATACATTGCCGTAATTGTGGAGTGGCAATCCTTCGACTCTCAACCTTTAGCTTTTCTCTACCGTAAGAAGCGACTATGTCTCTACCCTAAAAGGCTATGATAATCAGTCTAAGAGAAAGAAATTACAAGTCGATTACTTATACAAGTCGTATATGCGACTTAGAACTATTCGACTTACGGCTACAAACGCGAATTGGTTTGTTTGACCGTCTGGTCATGTAATTGTAGAAATCCTACAAATTGTCTATTTCAAAACAGATGTCTTACAGAATCTATTGTTTACCAATGCACCATTTCATCTACTGAAAACTCAGATGTTAAGAAATTTTATACTGGTAGTACAAAAATCCTTTTAAACAAAGTTGGTATCAACGTATATCTTCTTTTAGCAATAATGCGTAACGTAATCGAACTTCCCTCTCTAAATATTTTTGGCATTTAAAAGAAATCAACAAAACCCCCGCCGTAAAATGGAAAATATTAAAAAAAAAAAACAAAAAAAAACAACGAGAATTTGTAAGTCCTTAAATGATCTATGCCCCCTGCGTCTGTATGAAAAGCTGAATATTATAAAGTTTCCTAAAAATGAAGTTCTCCTAAATCAGAGAAATGAATTAAGAGTAATTTGTAGGCATTGTATAATGTTTACTTTAAAATACAGTTAATAGAATTTTCATTAAAAATCTATGCATTACAATAATAAATTCATTATTTTATTGATATATAATGGTACATATAATAATTATTTAACTCCTTGTTTTTTTTTAACTTTAATAGTGCCATGTTTTATTGCCCATTCAACATAATAAGTATTGTATTATGGGTTCAAAATAATATATATATATATATATATATATATATATATATATATATATGTTTTAAGCACACTAGAGGCCTCTTAAAGACCCTTTAAAATTTACATTCACAACCAGATGTCATCTAATGGTGGCGCGTCTTAAAAATATCAGTTCATCTAGACATGAATGAATAACACACCTACGCTAACTTCCCAGCAAATTGCTCACTTTTCTGCTTTAGACTTGATACGTCTTTTGATTGGTTAACTTAGACATACCCACAAAATTTTGAAATCTTGTTTCCCCCTTCTTTTTTTAACTCTTAAATAAGCTAACGTATTGTTTTTGATTTCACGAGTAAATCATTTTCATCATAAGTTATCTAACATTGCCTGATAATGGAACAATTTTAAGTTCCGAAACATGCCACATGCTTAATTTTAATTTTCTTATTGTCAAAATTTTTATGTCATTAAGAGAAAAGACCAAAGATGTTTTGATTATTAATATTTTTAATCCTTTTTAGAACGTTTGAAATTTTGGTTAAAATATTATTTTAGTTTTTTACCTCAGCGGGTGGCCATAAATTATTTTGGGAAATTTGTTTTGCATTTTGTTGTTGTTGATTTTTGCGGTGCAAAACTGATTTCGAAATTCTTGCAAAAATCTGAGAATTGTTGGATTTTCATGAAACTTTCAGGGTTTATTCACAAATGAATGAAATTATTTTAGAAAAAGTAACATAACAACCTTTTCTATAAATATTTTCAGGCTAATTGTTCGAATGAGATTTCTTTCTTGCTTCCTTGCTCCCTTGATTTCAAGAATCTAAGCGCAGTACTAGATTGGCAGTTAGGCCTAATCCTTTTCCAGTTGAACTGGCTAAATGTAACCGTAAGTTCTATGCTAACAGTTTCTTCTCTCGCACTTCTCACTTGTGGAACTCACTTTCGGTCTCTTGCTTTCCAGTCAAATTAACACAATGTGTGCAGGTAAGATCGTTGTTAACATGACACACTTGGTAGTTGTAATATGGGAGTTTATTACAAGGATTAGCACTTTTTGAGAGAAAG